GAGTCCCCTAAGCAAGCTGGTCCTGGGGCTCTGTTCACAAACACAAACAGACCCCACAGAGCCCCAGGACAGCAACACAATTAGACCCAACCAAATAATGAGAAAACAAAAAGATAATTACTTGACACATTGGAAATAATTAACAAAAAACAGAGAAACTAGAATGCTATTTGACCCTAAACAGAGAATACACAGTAGCAGAATACCTGACCACTGTGACTGACCAAAAAGTAAGGAAAGCTTTGACTATGTACAGACTCAGTGAGCATTGCCTTGCTATTGAGAGAGGCCGCCGTAGGCAAACCTGGCTCTCAAGAGAAGACAGGCTATGTGCACACTGCCCACAAAATGAGGTGGACACTGAGCTGCACTTCCTAACTTCCTGCCAAATGTATGACCATATTAGAGAAACACACCTCCCTCAGATTAAACAGACCCACAAATAATTCGAAAAACAAATCCAATTTGGATAAACTCCCATATCTATTGGGTGAAATGTACTGCATCAAATAGCCCCCGCGATATGCAACTTTTCAGGGAAGTTAGGAACCAAATACACAAGCAGTTAGGAAAGCAAAGGCTAACTTTTTCAAACAGAAATTTGCATCCTGTAGCACTAACTCCAAAAAGTTTTGGGACACTGTAAAGTCCATGGAAAATAAGAGCACTTCCTCCCAGCTGCCCACTGCACTGAGGCTAGGAAACACTATCACCACCGATAAATCTACAATAATCGAGAATTTCAACAAGCATTTTGCTACGGCTGGCCATGCTTTCCACCTGGCTACCACTACCCCGGCCACCAGCTCTGCACCCTCCGCTGCAGCTTGCCCATGCCCCCCCCCCCGCTTCTCCTTCACACAAATCCAGACAGCTGATGTTCTGAAAGAGCTGCAAAATCTGGACCCCTACAAATCATCTGGGCTAGACAATCTGGACCCTTTCTTTCTAAAACTAGCCGCCGAAATTGTCGCAACCCCTATTACTAGCCTGTTCAACCTCTCTTTCGTAATGTCTGAGATCCCCAGAGATTGGAAAGCTGCCGCGGTCATCCCCCTCTTCAAAGGGGGTGACACTCTAGATCCAAACTGTTACAGACCCATATCCATCCTGCCCTGCCTTTCAAAAGTTTTTGAAAGCCATGTCAACAAACAGATCACCGACCATTTCGAATCCCACCGTACCTTCTCCGCTATGCAATCCGGTTTCCGAGCTGGTCATGGGTGCACTTCAGCCACGCTCAAGGTCCTAAACGATATTATAACCGCGATCGATAATAGACAGTACTGTGCAGCCGTTTTCATTGACCTGGCCAAGGCTTTCGACTCTGTCAACCACCGCATTCTTATTGGCAGACTAAATAGCCTTGGTTTCTCAAATGACTGCCTCGCCTGGTTCACCAACTACTTCTCAGATAGAGATCAATGTGTCAAATCGGAGGGCCTGTTGTCTGGACCTATGGCAGTCTCTATGGGGGTGCCACAGGGTTCAATTCTTGGGCCAACTCTTTTCTCTGTGTATATCAATGACGTCGCTCTTGCTGCTGGTGACTCTCAGATCCACCTCTATGCAGACGACACCATTTTGTATACATCTGGCCCTTCATTGGACACTGTGTTAACAAACCTCCAAACGAGCTTCAATGCCATACAACACTCCTTCAGTAGCCTCCAACTGCTCTTGAACACTAGTAAAACTAAATGCATGCTCTTCAACCGAACGCTGCTTGCACCCGCCCACCCGACTAGAATCACTACTCTCGACGGGTCTGACCTAGAGTATGTGGACAACTACAAATATCTAGGTGTCTGGTTAGACTGTAAACTCTCCTTCCAGACTCACATTAAGAATCTCCAATCCAAAGTTAAATATAGAATTGGTTTCCTATTTCGCAACAAAGCCTCCTTCACTCATGCTGCCAAACATGCCCTCGTAAAACTGACTATCCTACCGATCCTTGACTTCGGCGATGTCATTTACAAAATAGCCTCCAACACTCTACTCTACTCCACCCACTGGCTCCAGGCCATCTATAAATCACTGCTAGGCAAATCCCCGCCTTATCTTAGCTCATTGGTCACCATAGCAACACCCACCCGTAGTCTGCGCTCCAGCAGGTATATCTCACTGGTCATCCCCAAAGCCAACACCTCCTTTGGCCGCCATTCCTTCCAGTTCTCTGCTGCCAATGACTGGAACAAATTGCAAAAATCTCTGAAGCTGGAGACACTTATCTCCCTCACTAACTTTAAACATCAGTTGTCAGAGCACCTTACCGATCACTGCACTTGTACACAGCCCATCTGAAATTAGCCCACCCAACTACCTCATCCCTATATTGTTATTTATTTTGCTAATTTGTACCCCAGTATCTCTATTTGCACATCATCTCTTGCACATCTATCATTCCAGTGTTAATACTAATTGTAATTATTTTGCACTATAGCCTATTTATTGCCTTACCTCCATAACTTGCTACATTTGCACACACTGTATATATATTTATTTCTGTTGTATTTTTGACTTTTTGTTTTACCCCATATGTAACTCTGTGTTGTTGTTTTTATCGCACTGCTTTGCTTTATCTTGGCCAGGTCGCAGTTGTAAAGGAGAACTTGTTCTCAACTGGTTTAACTGGTTAAATAAAGGTGAAATAAAAATAAATAAATAAAATAACACAGCATGCAATCACAGCAGCAAGATTTGTGACCTGTTGGCACAAGAAAAGGGCAACCAGTGAAGAACAAACACCATTGTAAATACACCTATATTTATGTTTATTTATTTTCCTTTTTGTACTTTAACTATCTTCACATCATTACAACACTATTTATAGACATAATATGAAACTTGAAATGTCTTTATTCTTTTTGAACTTTTGTGAGTGTAATTTTTTTTATTGTTTAATTCACTTTTGTTTATCATCTATTTCACTTGCTTTGGCAATGTAAACATATGTTTCCCATGCCAATAAAGCCCCTTAAATTGAAATTTAATTGCGAGAGAGACACAGAGAGAGAGAGAGATTCCACATGTATACAACACTGTACATAGCCATAATATAACATTTGAAATGTCTCTATTATTTTGAAACTTTTATGAGTGTAATATTTACTGTTCATTTTTAATTGTTTAATATCTATTTCACTTGCTTTGGCAATGTAAACATATGTTTCCAATGCCAATAAAGCCCTAAGAATTCGTATTCAAGGCAGCAGCTACTCTTCCTGGGTTCCAGCAAAAATGAAGGCAGTAATATACATTGTAATACAATTTTTCAACATTACATTAATTTGAATTGAATTAAGAGAGAGACGAGATGCAACGAATAAAGGCAAGGCTGACACACAAGCTTCTGTTATGTACAGTGGGGAACAAAAGTATTTAGTCAGCCACCAATTGTGCAAGTTCTCCCACTTAAAAAGATGAGAGAGGCCTGTAATTTTCATCATAGGTACACGTCAACTATGACAGACAAATTGAGAGAAAAAAATCCAGAAAATCACATTGTAGGATTTTTAATGAATTTATTTGCAAATTATTATTCAACACTCACACAATTACAACACGCTGAACGTCACCATACAAGGAAATAGCAGTTCATTGAGTTTACAACGCTTTGTGAAAGCATCAAGTTAGAATTAATCTATATCTTATCTGTATGGCGCGGGTCGAGAGCTTCAAGTTCCTTGGTGTCCACATCACCAACCAACTATCATGGTCCAACACACCAAGACAGTCATGAAGAGGGCACGACAACACCTATTCCCCCTCTGGAGACTGAAAAGATTTGGCATGGGTCTCCATATCCTCAAAAAGTTATACAGCTGCACCATCGAGAGCATCCTGACCAGTTGCATCACCGCCTGGAATGGCAACTGCTCTGCATCCGACCGTAGGGCGCTACAGTGGGTAGTGCGTACGGCCCAATACATCACTGGGGCCAAGCTAGGCGGTGTCAGAGGAAGGCCCAAAAAATAGTCAGACTCCAGTCTCCCAAGTCATAGACTGTTCTCTCTGCTACCGCACGGCAAGCGGTACCGGAACGGCAAGTCTAGGTCCAAAAGGCTCCTTAACAGCTTCTACCCCCAAGCCATAAGACTGCTGAACAATTAATCAAATGGCCACCCGGACTATTTTCATTGACCCCTCCCCCCCACTGTGTTTTTACACGTTCTGCTACTCGCTGTTTATTATCTATGCATAGTCCCTTTACCTCTACCTACATGTACATATTACCTCAATTACCTTGACTAACTTGTACCACCGCACATTGACTCGGTACCGGTACCCCCTGCATATAGCCTCAATATTGTTATTTTATTGTGTGACTTTTTATTTTACATTTTATTTTATATTTTCTTAACTTTATTTTCTTAAAACTGCATTGTTGGTTAAGGGCTTGTAAGTAAGCATTTCACGGTAAGAACTATACCTGTTGTATTCGGCACATGTGACAAATACAATTTGATTTGATTTGTATCATATTATATACTATATACACACCATTGACATTGCTCATGATTAAACCATGCACTCTACACTCTTAGAAAAAAGGGTTCCAAAAAGGTTCCCTTTTCGGTTCCTTCTTCGGCTGTCCCCATAGGAGAACCCTTTTTGGTTCCAGCAATAACCTTTTTTAGTTCCAGATAGAACCCTTTTGGGAACCCTACATGGAACCCAAAAAGGTTCTACCAGGAACTAAAAAGGGTTCTTTAAAGGGTTCTCCTATGGGGACAGCCGAAGTCCCCTTTTAGGTTCTAGCGCCTTGTGTAGTTGCACTCGAGCCGAAACGTTGCGTTTCAAGACATAAAACATCCCTGATCACTGCCATACAGTCCCCAACCTTACTTTGGCCATATATCTGCCTTAAATATTCTAGATATTTTAGACCTCATATTTCTTCTTCTTATTTGGAATGTTATTGCACGGCGGTTGGCAATCCAACTGTTATGGTGACTTATCTAGTTTTTTTTTCAGTTCAACTGTTTTTAAATTATTTATATATTTTTAGAACAAATAGGTGACCTGTCTTCTGTCCTCCTAAGACTGGTGACCGTGGTGACCTCATGTCTGATGGTGATCTCTGGGGTGAGTACTGTAAAGTCAGGGGTCAAGACATTACTGATGACCGCCACACAGCGTCCCGACCTTCCTCTACCCCAATGAGCCACCGCAGGGGTCCGACCAGGCTCTGCGCCCCCCTGTACCCGCCTCCTGCTGCCCCCTTTCCCCAGGAACAGCTCCTGCACCCTCTGACGGAACCGGCGGTCCCGTGCACTGTAGATCAGAACGTTCCACCCACTACTGCAGGCTAGAAGCCAGAAGGCATAGCGGGAGAACCGGCACCAGTCTACACCTAAAACACTCCCCACCACGAGAACTGCCACAGGGACCACCGAGGCTAAGAGGAAGGCCGTAAGGATGAGAATGGTCTTGGCCGCTTGCAGGTCGGAATATGCCGGACCCGTGTGTGTGTGTTGAGCTTTAGTGAGCACTTGCTTCCTTGCGCGGCAGAAGCGGCGGACAGCGGAGAAGGTGACCAGGTTGACGACTGAGGTGGCCCCCAGGAGAGAGATGTCGAAGGCGGGGAAGAGAAGCATCACACTCCACCCTCCCCAAGTGGTGCTCTGGAGCAGAGGACGGAGAGAGAGAGGGTGAGATATTAAAATATATTAAATATCACGAGGCAAGACTGCTCTGCAAAGCTAGGATAATGCATTTTTATATAAAAAAGAGTGTGTGTGTGTGTGTGCGTGTGTGTACGTGTGTGTGTGTGTGTGCATGTGAGTGTCTGTGTGTGTGCGTGTGTGTGTGAGACAGAAAGAGAGAGAGAGAGAGAGAGAGAGAGAGAGAGAGAGAGAGAGAGAGAAAAGCAATGAATCTGAAGCACCTGTTACATAAAGTCTTTCACAGTCTATTAGACTTGACTCAAAGAGGTTTTATTAAAATAAACAGGACCACCTGGCATCAGTTTGTTTCTCATCATCTCCCCAGTAATTTCACTGAGAGACAGAGAGAGAGAGAGAAAGAGACTGAGAGAGAGAGACTGAGAGAGAGAGAGAGAGAGAGAGAGAGAGAGAGACAGAGAGACAGAGAGAGAGAGAGAAAGAGACTGAGAGAGAGAGAGAGAGAGAGAGAGAGAGAGAGAGAGAGAGACTGAGAGAGAGAGAGAGACAGAGACAGAGACAGACAGAGAGAGAGAGAGAGAGAGAGAGAGAGAGAGAGAGAGAGAGAGAGAGAGAGAGAGAGAGAGAGAGAGAGAGAAAGATTGAGGACAGTCAGAGGACAACTCCAACTCAGTCTCATGTACTAACCTTATGTTCTTGATAATATTGCCTCTCTCCTGGTGAGAGGGCGTAGTTGCACATCTTGCTGCAGAGGTTGTACTCCAGAGTGATATTGCCTCTGAGGAAGAGAGGGGAGACAGCCAGGAGGAAGCAGAACAGCCAGGAGAGGGCGATCAGCCACAGAGTCCTTTCTCTGGTCACCACCAGGTTCTTATGCAGGGGTTTCAGCACCGTTATACCCCTCTCCACTGACAGCATGAAGATGGTGGTCACTGAAACTAACGTACACCCAGCGAATATGGGCCCTATCAGGAAACAGGGACTAAACCCCTGTGGCTGTGGTTCTGTGGAAGGGAACCAGCCAGGGATCACAGAATGTTAGAACAAATTAACAAAAGAACATCAGATTGTTTAATATAACATCGGCATGTTGGAACAATAGTACACTGCTCAAAAAAAATAAAGGGAACACTAAAATAACACATCCTAGATCTGAATGAATGAAATAATCTTATTAAATACTTTTTTCTTTACATAGTTGAATGTGCTGACAACAAAATCACACAAAAATGATCAATGGAAATCAAATTGATCAACCCATGGAGGTCTGGATTTGGAGTCACCCTCAAAATTAAAGTGGAAAACCACACTACAGGCTGATCCAACTTTGATGTAATGTCCTTAAAACAAGTCAAAATGAGGCTCAGTAGTGTGTGTGGCCTCCACGTGCCTGTATGACCTCCCTACAACGCCTGGGCATGCTCCTGATGAGGTGGCGGATGGTCTCCTGAGGGATCTCCTCCCAGACCTGGACTAAAGCATCCGCCAACTCCTGGACAGTCTGTGGTGCAACGTGGCGTTGGTGGATGGAGCGAGACATGATGTCCCAGATGTGCTCAATTGGATTCAGGTCTGGGGAACGGGCGGGCCAGTCCATAGCATCAATGCCTTCCTCTTGCAGGAACTGCTGACACACTCCAGCCACATGAGGTCTAGCATTGTCTTGCATTAGGAGGAACCCAGGGCCAACCGCACCAGCATATGGTCTCACAAGGGGTCTGAGGATCTCATCTCGGTACCTAACGGCAGTCAGGCTACCTCTGGCGAGCACATGGAGGGCTGTGCGGCCCCCCAAAGAAATGCCACCCCACACCATGTGAAATGTATTGTCAATCAGTGTTGCTTCCTAAGTGGACAGTTTGATTTCACAGAAGTGTGATTGACTTGGAGTTACATTGTGTTGTTTAAGTGTTCCCTTTATTTTTTGAGTAGTGTATATCAGAACATTAGAAAATTATGTGAACTTAATCAGAATGTTAGTAGACCTACACACCTTCTCTTCCCGCCAGTAGTGTCTGTATCTCTGTATGGATGGAGTAGGGGATGACCAGTACCCCCACTGCTAGATCTGCTGTAGCCAGAGAGGCCTTCAGGTACCCCTGGGGGGTCCGGAAACGTCGGGAGCCAAGGAAGATGGTCAGACTGACCACGTTACCCAACGTTATGGCAACGGACAGAAGTAACATAAAGCAGACGTTGAGAACCTGACCGGAATCTGTTGCGAACCTGGAACAATTATGGTTGAAGGTTTCCATGATTTCCAAGTCCTCCATGTTAGAAGGTATTATAGAATAAATGAAAAAGTGAATAAAGGAGTCAGTAGATCAACAGGTGAATAGATAGGTTCTCTGTCAATGTCATCCCCTTCTCTGTGTCTGTTTGTCCATCACAACATAGCAACACACAGGTCTGCAACAAATAATTAAATGGTTGAAAAAATACACCAGTTACTGATGCTAAATTGGTTCTCAATTGACTTACCTGGTTAAATAATGGTACATATTTTTTCAGTGATATGAATGCAAAACAACATGTTTTATGCTGAGCTAAAAGGAGTGGCAAATATGGATGAGCAATAACCAATAATCAAAGCACCAAAAAACAACAATAATTTCTATAGAGAGAATAATACGTGTTTGCTTTCTGACTGACTGACTGACTGACACAAAGAATCCCTTAGCAGATATGTTTCTTTTTTCAACATCAATATCTTAGGTTAATATTTCATGCATATGCATTTGAAATGTTTTCTGATTTAATAATCCTGTAATTATGCTCTAAAATGTGTTATATCAAAGCTGAATCATGATCAAGTTTACAATAAATAACCCAAAAATATCAACCACAAAATAAATATTATTGAGAACCTCACCTTCTCATCCAAGTCGTCTTATCTGTGCATGGTGTGTATCCGATAGGTCCTCTGATAGTGCGTCCTCTCCACAGCGTCGTGAACGCACGCCAGCAGGCTGATGAATCAATCAAATGGAGTCACTGGTGCGCGCCCCGTTATTAAGGCGCGCTCCTGCTTTCCGTGTGTACTTCTGAAATGTATTCCAATCAGGAAATAACTACTTGTGGGTGACTGCCAAAATGATATTTTTTTCACACCTGTGATAACGTATTTCTTCATCAATTAATAACCACACACTCTCTGTTCACCTTATTACTGGTCATCATGTCAATACTAATTCAACTAAATTATCTAATTGTCACGCCCTGGCTCTGGGGACTCTTAATTGTTGATTTTCTATGTTTTGTTTGCTATGGTTTTCGTTCTAGATCGGTTAGATCTATGTTGGCCAGGGTGGTTCCCAATCAGAGGCAGCTGTAGCTCATTGTCTCTGATTGGGAACCATACTTAGGCAGCCTGTTTTCACTAGTCATTGTGGGATCTTGTTCCGAAAGGTTTGTGTTAACCTAGGACTTCACGTTTCGTTTGTTGTTTTGTTCGTGTGGTGTACTTCAATAAAAGATGTACGTTTATCACGCTGCGCCTTGGTCCGCTTCATCTATCGACGATCGTGACAGAAGATCCCACCACGACTGGATCAAGCAGCGTGAAGAGGAGAGAGGATGGACTTGGGAGGAGAGGAGAGAGAGTCTGGCGAGAGGCATGGAGGCCATGTTCACGGGGGAGAGACAAGCCCAAAACATTTTTAGGGGGGGGCTCACGCCGTGGACGACGAGGCAGCAGGAGGCCGCGATAGAGCGGTTCAGCCGGTTAGCAGAGGAGGCCGCCAGGTTACGGGGGCTATTGGTCACGAGGGAGAAGGAGAGTGTGGAGGCACGGCGAGAGGAACTGGTTAGGCAGCAGAGGGAGCGGAGGTTTATGAGGAAACCCAGTCCCGCTCCTCGCACCAAGCAAGTGGTGTGTGTCACCAGTCCGGTCCGGCCCGTTCCTGATTCCCGCACAAGGCCAGTGGTGTGTGTTCCCAGTACGGTCAGGCCCGTTCCTGCTCCCCGCACTAAGCCTGTGGTGTGCGTCGCCAGCCCGGTCCGGCCTGTTCCTGCTCCCCGCACCAAGCCAATGGTGCGCGTCGTCAGCCCGGTCCGGCCTGTTCCTGCTCCCCGCACCAAGGCAATGGTGCGCGTCGTCAGCCCGGTCCGGCCCGTTCCTGCTCCCCGCACCAAGCCAGTGGTGCGCGTCGTCAGCCCGGTCCGGCCCGTTCCTGCTCCCCGCACCAAGCCAGTGGTGCGCGTCGCCAGCCCGGTCCGGCCCGTTCCTGCTCCCCGCACCAAGCCAGTGGTGCGCGTCGCCAGCCCGGTCCGGCCCGTTCCTGCTCCCCGCACCAAGCCAGTGGTGCGCGTCGCCAGCCCGGTCCGGCCCGTTCCTGCTCCCCGCACCAAGCCAATGGTGCGCGTCGTCAGCCCGGTCTGGCCCGTTCCTGCTCCCCGCACCAAGCCAGTGGTGCGCGTCGTCAGCCCGGTCCGGCCCATTCCTGCTCCCCGCACCAAGCCAGTGGTGCGCATCGTCAGTCCGGCACGGTCCGTGCCTGTTCCACCGGTGCCTGGTCCGGCACCGGTCAGCTGCTCCACGCCGGAGCCAGAGCAATCCGCTCCACCATTGTTCAGTCCAGCTCCGGCCAATGGGGCCAGACCAGACCAGGGGGTAGAGAGAGTGTGGTGGTCACGCCCGGAGCCGGATCCGCCTCCGAGGCGGAATGCCCACCCGGCCCCTACCCTCTTGTGTTTGGTTGCCGCGGTCGCAGTCCGCGCCTTTGGGGGGGGGGTACTGTCACGCCCTGGCTCTGGGGACTCTTAATTGTTGAGCCAGGGTGTGGATTTTCTAGGTTTTGTTTGCTATGGTTTTCGTTCTAGATCGGTTAGATCTATGTTGGCCAGGGTGGTTCCCAATCAGAGGCAGCTGTAGCTCGTTGTCTCTGATTGGGAACCATACTTAGGCAGCCTGTTTTCACTAGTCATTGTGGGATCTTGTTCCGGAAGGTTTGTGTTAACCTAGGACTTCACGTTTCGTTTGTTGTTTTGTTCGTGTGGTGTACTTCAATAAAAGATGTACGTTTATCACGCTGCGCCTTGGTCCGCTTCATCTATCGACGATCGTGACACTAATCTAAAAGTCATTCAACTTATTTAACTCATTCATAGCCCAAAATATGGCCTACCAGAAACAGTCTTTACATTTTATACGTTTTATAGACCTGGCTTATAGGCTAGATGTGTGTGTCCTGTGATGCACTTTCAAAGAAGGCCATTTTTATGAACAGCACGGATGAATATAATAAGGCTAATTGTAAAAAATATATATATACTGTAACTTGCAAACAGATGCTTCCCCAAACAATATTTGTGTCTTTTCAGATTTTAATTTGATTCACTATGTCATTAGAGACTGGTCTTCAAGTGCACCCACCCCTCCCTCCCGTCTCCCCCAGCAGTGCACCGCCATCCCTGGCCTCAGCCTGGCCTTCCACACTGGGCTGTGGAGGTTCAAAGAGAAAAGCCCCACCACACAAGTGAAGGCCAGTTTGATGATGAAGGGGAAGATGACACACACCAACCCAAACTCTGCGGCTCTGTACAAAGCTTTTCCAGGATGTGCCCATATCCGTTCTATTACAGAGAGATGCCACCAAGGACACACACATAGTCCACCCCCATACAGCCCACCCCCATAGCCACGCAGATCAGCTGTTACCATGACAGTACATAAGTGTGATCCATGATGTCTGTAGATCTCTCGCTCTCTCTCTTTATCTCTCTCTCTCTTTCTTTATCTCTCTCTCTCTCTTTATATATCTCTCTTTCTCTCTCTTTCTCATTCACTCACCCACACATACACACACACACACACACACACACACACACATACACACACTGTATTTTTGTGTTTGTTTCCAGCAGACTATACCAGACCATTCTGGAGTGACACTAGAGACTACCTGAATAATTGAGTGAGTGTGTAACAAGGTGAGTTGGACGGGGCCAGGCGCAGGAGGTGTGAATCATAGAATAGGGTTTATTTGGCCAATACAGCAGTCCGCAGCAATGTGTAAACCAAATACAGTGAGACTTAAATGTGTACTGGGAAAACAAAACACACAGGTGAATATCCCGGCGATAAAAGTAACATAATGCTCAACACGAGCTAGCGACACCTCCGCATGGAACAATAACACACAAAGACATGGGGGAGCAGAGGGAATAATAATACAGAGACTGATGAGGGGATATGAACCAGGTGTGTGTGAAAAAGAAGACAAAACAAATGGAATGATAAAAAGAGGAGCGGCAGAGGCTAGAAGGCTGGTGACGACGAACTTCGAAGCCTGCCCGAACAAGGAGATGAGGCAGCTTTGGAGGGAGTCGTGACAGTAACCCCCCCCCCCCCCCCTTGACGTATGGATGGCGACTGTGGAAGTCCCGCAACAGGGAGGGATCGAGGACATCCTTCACCGGGACCCAGCACCGCTCCTCCAGACCGTACCCCTCCCACTCCACGAGGTACTGAAGGCCCCCCGCCCGACGCCTCGAATCCAGGATGAAACGGACAGAGTACGCCGGGGCCCCCTCGATGTCCAGAGGTGGCGGAGGGACCTCCTGCACCTCAGTCTCCTGGAGCGGACCAGTCACCACCGGCCTGAGGAGAGACATGTGAAACAAGGGGTTAATATGGTAATCAGGAGGGAGCAGCAACCTACACGTAACCTCGTTCACTCTCCTCAGGACTTTGAATGACCCCACAAACCGCGGGCCCAGCTTCCGGCAGGGCAGGTGGAGGGGCAGGCTCCGGGTCGAGAGCCAGACCCGATCACCCGGTACAAAGACCGGGGCCTCACTACGGTGGCGGTCAGCGTTGGACTTCTGGCGACGCACGGCGCGCTGGAAGTGGAAGGCGTTCCACGTCTCCTCTGCGCGCCAAAACCAGTCGTCCACCGCAGGAGCTTCGGTCTGGCTCTGATGCCACGGTGCCAGGACTAGCTGATACCCTAAAACACACTGAAATGGTGACATGTTAGTGGAGGAGTGGTGGAGAGAGCATATTCGGTCCATGGCAAGAACACCGACCACTCCCCCGGCCGGTCCTGGCAGTAGGACCGCAGAAACCTTCCCACATTCTGATTCACTCGTTCCACCTGCCCATTAGATTCGGGGTGAAACCCAGAGGTACGGCTGACCAAGACCCCCAGACGTTCCATGAACGCCTTCCAGATCCTAGACGTAAACCGGGGACCCCGGTCAGACAATATGTCCTCTGGCATCCCGTAGTGCCGGAAGATGTGAGTAAAAAGGG